ACTCGGCTTATCGGTACGTTGAGTTGCTCTTATTATTATACTTCTCTCCTGAGGGAGGGGCGTATCATTGGACGAACTAATAAAGAATGAACCTGTTCAACCGTGTTTCTTTCGCTAATGGTACATCAGTTTGGCCAAAATTGGGAACCATGATCTCAATCAATCGATTCTCCTAAGAACCTAGCATAGCCTTCAAAGAGCAGTTCTCCTGTATCGCTGATTTGCGGATTCGTTCTTACGTATTGATAACAGATTTACCACGTAAAGCGATCGTATCCTAATCAATATTCATGAAAGCTTTTAGGACTTATAAATAGCATTAGACAATGCATTCATTCATCACCACATTCGAAAAAGCAGGCTTGGCTGAAAGAAAGAAGAAACTTATTTGTTCCTAATGAGAAAAACTGACCAGTTGAAAAACTTTCCGGGCGATCTCTCTGACCGAATTGGTTTTCTTTTTAGGTGGAACCTAAACGTTTTCTTTCAACTTTAGGAAAAATGGAATCAGGAGTAAGATTACAACGCAGGATGGGGCAGAACCCACCTTTATCGACTTTATCAGTTCAGTTATTCGTGAACTGTTTGGCAATGCAGCCTGAAACAATTTATTGGCAAGTATTGGCTGATAACAGTGGATTTGAGGGCACATAACAAACACTGAAATGGCCTCGACATACCGAAGAAGAAGACATCTGTGTCTGTTGGGAAGGAGGAGCCTTAAAGAGAATCATAAAAGTTGGTTACAAATGTAGTTTGACATCACTTTTTTGTATTAATTCATCCAAGGGCTAAGCACCTACGGAGCGTTCGCAATAAATTTTATCCAAGATCACGCAGGGCTACGTGATTTTTTATTTTTCCCCGACAGCCATATCCAGTTTTCGCTTAGAAAATAGCATACGCAAAGTTCCTATATTTTTTCACATGCTACCAACTTCCTCCTTCTTCAACACGTTGACGACAGCGTGCAGCGCTCTTTCTTGAACATGAATATGAAACACAGTAGAAAAAGTAAGTGGAGATCTATATGTACAGCGAATGAAGTTTTTTTAGTAGAACAACCTGTCACAAATAATTTTGAAGTCCATCACAAGGAAAGCAACACTTGCCTTTCCAGCGCCATAACGGATCATTTCGATCGAACTTTCACAGTTGCACCTTCTATAAGTTTGACACATCGAATATCATTGAAAACATTTTGTCTGCATCGAAGTTTGGCGTATTCTAAAGCTCAAAATCCACAGATTTGTTGTGAGGCGGCGGCGCATGCAGAATCGCTCTGGTCCCACGCGGGCAAAACAGCAATGCGCGATGTCGTCAACGTGTTAGCACTCTTTCCTGACTTCCTTTTGACGCCCGTTTTCTTCGAACAAACATGTAATTTACTGTGACAGAAGCAGCTAGCTTAAATAAACTCAAGAAACCTTTTTGTCCCTATGAACATGGGGGTTTGGCGATCGAGTGTTACGATCACTGAACGCTCCACAACTCCTAATAGAAAAAGGGAGATGGATCAGCTGTGCACCCGGGTGATGTCAGACCTTGCGATCGAAGCGATTAGCTAGCGTCCGCAGGTCGCTGATGCGGGGGTACAGCGAAGTGGGTAGTATGTTGCTGCAGCAATGCAAGATAACACCAGGGAAATGACTCTAGCTCGGCAGAGATAATATCCCTTGACGAAGCAATTGGTTTGGCGTACTGATGAAGTTATGTACAATAAATTTGGCCGTCCCAAGTGCTTGGTTATTCTTGCATTCCTAATCTTCTCTCTCTACGTTCGCAGCCGACAACCCCTCACCATCAACCAATCATAGACCGAGTCCGCAGCCAGTCCAAATCAGTAGTATGAAGCTAGATGGAAGGTTCCTCAAAACGATGTCGTTTCCCAGTCAATAGAACATACTCATGGTCAAGAAAAGGGAGATGCGTCTAAAGATGACGACTCTGGTCGGGTACTTCGCGCTCGCACACGCGCTGTCTGAAACGCAAGTTGCTGCACGACAGCCGAATGGTACAGATGATAAGGCCTTGTTTACCGCTACGGACACCCACTTCGCCGCACATCTCAATACCTTAATGGCCTAGTCTACTTTTACAGTGGACATCTTCTTCTTTCTAAAGATCTAGATTATCGCACTAACTACCTATAATAGTTTTTTTTGTTACGTACTCACTCTCACATCCTCCAGGGGCGGGAGATCAACTATTCACTTGACACTACAACATTCGGCAGTTTTCAATTGTTTAACTTTCTCGGATGAATGGTCTGCCTATAAAAGGTTGATAAACGAAAGCCTGGCATACCTGTGCCGTTTGTGGAGCAGCGCTCAGCATCCTTACAAGAAGCACATCACCACCTTGTATGCCTAGAGCCTAGAACACGATGGCTAAAAACCGAAGATCAAATTGCCTTAAAAATCGGAAGAACGGACAAATTTGGATAAAACGATGAAGTAAGCGGCATAAAAGGATAAGAAATCAAGGAATCAGAGGGAATGCAGTTCTTGACATCAACTGGAAAGGATTCGAAAAAAAAAAATTGTGCTAATTACCTCGAGCGTTTGCGAAGGATTCACCAAAAGCTTCCCATCTTTCAATGTTGCCATTTTGTTTGGAGGAATTTCACTTCCAAACAGCTCAGTAGAGCATAGCGCAAGTAGATCATTAAGCTGAATAAGCACTTTTCCTTACCTTGCGAAACTTTACAACTTCGAATAGCTTTATGAACAACCGCTTACCGTCATATCACTAGGAACATCGTATCCTGCTTCAGCGACCAGATTCGTTAAGGAAACAAACATACTGAAAACAACTTAAACATTTAAAGGTCCAAGAAAAAACTGTAGACCTTCATAAGATAATGTGGCAAATTAACTAGTCTACAATGAAAAAGAACAGAAGCTACTACTCATTTGCTTCCAACCATAGCCGAATCATCAAAGCTATTTAATGAATCGGCATCTGGAAGGAAGGACCAGAGCGACCAGTTTTGTTAAGAGAAACACAACTGTTAGTTACTGTAAGCAACATAAACATTTAAAGGTTCAAGAGGAAAACTGAAGACCTTGATAAGATAGAGTGGCAACTTGACTAGTTTACAAAAAAAAAACAGAGCAGCTGCCACTCAATTGCTTCCGATCATAGCCGATACATCAAAGCCATTTAATAAATCGGTATCTGGAAAGAAGGAGCACATCCAACACTAAAATCGCCACGAGGTTAGACCTTATCCACGACAATTTGTCTGACTGCTTACAATGTCCTACTCAAGCTACTGTAAGAATACGAGCTCTAGCAGCAAGCTGAGGTAGTTTTTGGTACAGTTGATTAGGCAGTTGCTAGGAAGCTATGGGGACAGGGTCAAGGTTAGTAGGGCTAAAAACTCCCGACTGGACGTGTATGCACAAAAAGGGTGTCTTATGTAGTAGAGAGCATTCCGCAATCACAACATCACGAAAGAGTGAAACTTAACTGATTAGAGGCTCAGGCGCATACCAGTTCGTATCTCCGTTCCGCCTTATCCCTCTCCCCCCCCGTATAGTACTCAGGGTGTTTTTAGTATAGTAGCCGGGGATTCATTTCATGTCTCAATAGAACATTGACACCGCAAGATCCACGTGTTCCATTTGCAATGGGTTCCTTATCCTATCGGAGACAACTTGCGAGCAGGGTCAACCCTGCGTTGCGCAAAGAACAACGAGGGGGTCGTATTCAGCCGACCGAAAAGGGAGGGGGTCGTATCCACAGACGGGCTGCAAGACGGCTTGAAAAGTGCAGTGTCCGGGAGTGCACTTGCCTCTAATGTTCTCCAGGAGCTCTGCACGCTGTCGGAGAGTCACACAGACATGAGCTCCATGGGAGCATTAAAGCATGCAGAGCACTATAAGTCTCACCATCAGCTTATTATCCTTAAGCGACGCTATCCGGACGGCGCTTTTGCTCCGCGGCATAGATCAAGAGTACAATAGACAATAGCCAAAAAC